TCAGTTTCATTTGATACCAATGTACACGACGCTACCCAAACAGAGGAGAATTAATTGAAAATGAAATGACTTACATATTTTCTAAAAGACAAGAAAAAAATTGATTCAAATTAAGGGAAATAAATACTTCAAAATGCTAGATACTTAAAATGGTTTAAAGAATCAAAGGTAAACTAAATTTGAAATTCAAGCCATTTTTGTTTGGACTGACATGTATTATTTTGACAAGACGAGGGAAAAAAAACAATTCTTTTGAAACCGCAATGACAACAATTTTAAGCAAAGAGATTAACTTACCTTTGAAGTATATTAGTATCTTCAAATTTCTTTCTAAGGGAAATTTCAAATGGTCTATTTTTATAAACTGAGGTCAGATAGTATTGGTAGTTTATTATTTATATGTATTGGTAGTTTATTATTTACGATTTTTAAAATGTGATCAAACACACTTGTACAGAAATATACTACGCGATCAATCGGTAAGAAACTAAACCTTATAGCATGAATCTAATCAACTTAGGGCTTATACTGCTATAAATCATAAATAATTAAATCATGACTATTTTTGAAGGGTTCGGTCTGTATTATTTATCTGATAACTTGATCTTCGGTGCAATTAATCAATGTAACATTTTTCCTCACATTTTCTACTTAAATGTTTAAAATTGTAGTTACCTCTGACATTTTGGAAGAAAAAATTCCAAATCCTCTTGAACACAAAAAATTATGTTTTTGATACTCATTTTTAGTTTCAATTAAAAGGTATGCGAATTATATAGCATTTCTGAAATGTGTTTTTCAATTAATTTAAATTATCTATTAGTTTTTGAAATTTAGATCACATCATCCATAATATTAATTAAGGTGTTATCTTTTTTCCTGTTCACAGTTCCTACGTAAAATGACTTTGTATATTCGACAACAATAATACATCAGACAATTAACACGAATTTTATCCAAAGAAATATAGTATATTCAATGTCTGATTGTCAAGAGACAAGAAGCTTCCAATCACTGCTAAATAATTATTAACACTAAATGATTATTCACATTTTTCCAAGTGATTATTTTTTGCTACTAATTGATTATTAATTCGTTACCTACTAATTTACATGCACAGATATGTTTTCAAGGTTAATTTCCCCTATCAAATTTTGTATCTAAAAGTAAAGTAATACCTGTCAAAGTGGTCCGATGTGTGAATGTACCAATATACAATCCATAACAAAAAAATCGATGCACCAAGAGCGCACTAAGACGCTCAAAATTGACGCTCGATCAGGCGGGAATGATGCCGACTGGGGACGTATATTCTTTAGCGACGAATCTCGCTTCCAACTAAGTCCTGACGATCATCGAAGACGTGTATGGAGGTGCACAAGGCAGAGGGGGGATCCTGCCTTCACTATTGCACGCCACACCAGCCCTAAACCAGGCATTATGGTCTGGGATGCCATTTCCTTTGATAGCCGGACCCCTTTGGTCGTCATTAGAGGTACACTTACTGCACAGCGGTACGTCGACGACATTCTAAGACCTGTTTTGCTACCGTTCCTTTTGCAACTCCCTGGGCTTGTTTTTCAGCAGGACAATGCCAGACCATATACGGCACGTGTTGCTATGAACTGTCTGCAAGCTTGTCAAACTCTTCCTTGGCCTGCCAGATCACCAGATCTCTCTCCCATCGAGCATGTCTGTGATATGATGTGAAGGCGATTGCATCGGGCACGGAATGTTGATGACCTCGTTCGACAATTTTATCGAATTTGGCAGGAAATACCACAAGAGACCATCCGGGAGCTCTATCGATCTATGCCATGCCGTGTGGCAGCTTGTATCCAAGTTAGAGGCGGGTCAACACCTTATTGAACTTGTTACTGTAACTCTGCAATCCACCGACTAGATGGCTGGACGCAGTTGAGAGGGACCTAAGGATAATAGGAAGGCCATGACACAGAATAGATCAAGATGGCAAAAGCTTATTGGAACGGTCTTGACCTATCATAGTCTGTAGTGCCCAAAAAGAAGATTACACCTTCATTATTGCGTCTGAAAGAAACCATGTACATCCTTGATGAATATGAATACTTATTTTTTTTATATTCCTGGACAAGTAAGAACTATTGAAAAAACAACGAATAGTTATATCCATATAAACCAAAATATCACATGACGAACAAGGCAAGTTTTCGTTTTGAAATAACATGAAATTAAAAAAAATATATATATTTGAATAGTTATCGTTATTTATGTGAGTTTAAAAATGGCCAACTTAATTGCAATTCTGGGAAAATATATTGTTCTCAGTATGGAACCACGCCTAGACTACGAGAAAAAGTGGGACTGTAGACAATTTTTTTAACCTCACTAAAACTTGCGGATGAAGTTTTTTTCGTTAAACAAGAGATAAAACTGGTTTCGTTAAACTGGTTTCGTTTCGTTTTTTCGCCCACACATAATTAAGATAATACATCTAAACAAGAAAAAATTTCACCTATTTTCTGCGTCACTTCTTCATCATGGCATTCATCTTTTGAACCGTAAAAAGGAAACAAAACACTCAATATTTGGGTGAAAAAGAATAAAGAATCCCATATTTCAGAATAATATTCATGTGAATGTGTGTGGAGACGACAGCATATAGAATTTAAACGAAGAACTGTCAATTACGACAATCGGACAAAAATATTCGTACACGAGATGCCAAGGAATTAATCTACACGATATGAAATCCGCAGTTGGTTCGCTATTTTTTAGAACTGTTGTGATTGAATTGTTCTCAATGCTTGGATAATTTTCAAGCAATCTTTTTGTCATCTATATTACGTATTATGAGTTCATTCTTGTGTTTGTTGAAGAACTATGAAGTAGCGTTTTGCTAGTCAGATAGCACTTAATGCATAGAATTTAGCTTCTCAAAAGAAAAAATCCATTTAACATTGTATTGTATTAATGAAACATGCTGATAGCTATGAGGTACGTTGGAAACCAAAATGTCAGTATTTTATTATCACTTTCACGTATCACGCATACACCGAAGAGCCATTACATTATGACCATACTGCTGATAGCATGTAGGACCACCTTTAGCCCTCAAAACTGCTAGCACCCGCCGTGGCATTGATTCCAGAAGGTGCTGATAGGTAGTCTGAGGTATCTGATAACAAGCACTCACCAACTGGTCCCGCAATTCCCTCACATTGCGAGGGGGTAGCGTGGCAGCACGAATTTGGTTTTCCAAGTAGGACCACAAATGCTCTATTGGATTAAGGTCGTGTGAATTTGGGGGCCAAAACATGACTTGAAAGTCACTGGAATATTCTTCGACGATTCGACCCTTGTGGCATGGTGCATTATCCTGTTGGTAAACACCAACCCCCGAAAAAAAAACTGTTGCCATGAATGGGTGAACCTGGTCTGCAACTGTATTCAAGTAGCTTACAGACGTCAGGGATTGTTCTATGAGGATTATGATCCTAATGTGCTCCATGAAAACATTGTTCCTGGGCGAGAAACCATGAAAACCTGGGTGAGCCCATTGTTATAGATGGAGGGTGGTCATAGTGTAATAGCTCTTCGGTATATATTCAATGCCTACGATAATGCTTAACTAGATATGAACTTCTTCCTTTTAAAACATGTATGCTATTATGTTTTGCTTATATTCGTGTCTAAAAGTTTATTTAATAAAAATAATTTCAAAAAATTCTTTAAAATCCCTTATAATATTTTAAACAATGTCCTTCAATTAAAAAATCCTTTACAATGGAATAACATCAAATTTTCATGAGGGTCACATTAACCCCAAATGGTGTTATTAGGGTTAGCCCAAAATCCGGCTGTTCTTGGGGTAAGGAAAAAGAAAATCTAATTTTTTTCAGAACAAGGCAAAATGTGATTTGTGGTGAATTTTTAAAAATCTTTTTCCCTATTCCTAGTTAAATCAGTTTCATTTGAAAGAATGAGTGTTATATTTTCCTGAAAAGGTTCATATATGCCTAACAAATATTAATATAATCTTTCTGAAAAAAAAGTATTTTGTCCGAAACATTCGAATTTTAACAATTATAAACTTTTTGTTTGAAACTTGTGGATTTTCGCATTAGGTTACTTTTACAGATTTTCTAATCAGATTACTCTTCTAACATAATGGATAAAAAAACATTATTATCCAACTCTGGGGATAATAACTACGATGTTTACGTTAAAGAGTTTTAATTTTTTAACTTCTTAATTGCAGAATTTTGCTAACAGCAATCATCAGATATGAGGCTTTTATGAGCATTCAACATGGTAAATGTCTGGAGGAGAAAAAAAATTTGTGCGCAGACCCAGCTGAAGAATTAAATTACCAAATACCATCCTCTGTAAAAATTGAATATTCAAATATCACGAAACTTTCTTTGTTTTTGACGTAATCATTCCCTAGTATACGCAACAAGAGAACGTTTTGCCTAAGTGACGAAATAGCTATTACTTCCTCTTCGAAGAAACAAATTTCATCAAAATATTAATATATCTCCATTCAGTTTTCTTATCGAAAAGAAAAAGACTTCATTTTGCTTAATGTACTAACGTTTCTAATAAACACTTTATCCTATCGCCTTTTTATACTAGCCAGACGCTTTACTACATCCTCGACCGGAAACAATCAATAACTAGCAGTATTTTCGATGTTGTGAATGGCAACAAGCTGTTTCCAATATTTAAACTCTATGCATTATATTAGAAATGTTTTCGTTTTGTTCTTGGATTCTCTTTTCAAATTTCATACTAACATACATAACATAACTAATTTCATACATAAGAACTCTGGAGATCTGTCGGTACTCTGCCATTTTAGCTTGAATAATAGTTTCGTATTCAATTACTCCGAGGTCACTGATTAAAAAGGGCAGAATAGTAGGAATTTTAATTCTATTGAAGGAATGGAAGAAATATTGTGATATCAATGCTGGATTCGAACACCTGTTTAGCCGATCTTGAGATTGACCGATTAGCCCTCTCTGTTAAAGTATGTACAAAACATCTATTAAACAAATTGGCTATATCGGATGAGATTAGTTGACTCGGATATTTTGGATGAATATTGTTATATAACGGTTAAGTAAATCTCCATTAAACAATTTTTACCGATAATTTTATAACAGTGAAGATGAATAGACGTAGATATGGTTACTCAGATATAGTTTTATTTAATTATAATTTAAACATAACAACTTTTCGCAATTTTCATAAAAAAAATTTTATTTCCATTTTCAATAAAATTGAAACTTAATTATTGCTTTCTATAAATCACCATTAAATGTGTGTGCTAAAGAGATTAGACATCAACACAAAACACACGAGGAAAGTAAATTCTTACAGTCGGCTTACAATTTTAAACATTTACTATTTGTTCATTACTTTGATTGCATATTTTAATTGATTACATTTTTGCATAAAATTTATTATAATAATTAATAAATTTCTTTTGCCTTTTAATAATTTTAAAATATATTTATCATAATATGTTGTACAATAAGGTGAATTTACAGTAATATTTTATTATAAATAAACACCACTTTTAATTTCAAATATTTTCATTTTGAATGATTGTTTAAACTAAAAACGTAGTACCATCAGAGAATATTATTAAGCACGGAAGATAAGTAAATATTACAAATAAATGATTAATTCATTTGAATAAGGGCTAAAGAAAAACCTTTAAAGGCCATCTTTATAACACAGGGTAATCTTATGCTGATTATAACCAAAGGCTTATGGTTCATTAAAGTTAATTTAATGAAGTTAAGGTTACATAAAACTTTGACGATATCCTAGTTCGGGAAACGGTTCAAGCTTTAATCTATTTTTAATGAGAGTGAAAGGCAAGAAAAGAAAAAACAAGGAGGTTTTGAAACATTAATTTAATTCAACCAACGGAAGAATAATTTTAAATTTGTAGGATTCTAAGAAATCCAAATCAAATAGAAACAATGTAGATTAATCAACCGTTTCTTGGTTCACATTTGTTGGTAGACGAATTGCAATATAGACCTTGTCCACATTGGGGATAGCTAAAATTTTCATAGGTTACTCCGTATATCGTATTTTCACTTTGAGGTGGTCTTGCTCCTTGGCAACTTTGCCCTGGACCTAAAAAAAAAGGCATTAATGTAATTGATAAAAAAGTTCAACTAGGCACAAAAATTATTAAAGAAAATATGATAGATTTTATGTTTGAAAAATATTTTTTTTTTTTATATTTTTCAATATTTAAAAAAAAATACACAGTTTGAATGATAACATATGCTGGGGGTGAACAAAATAAAGGAGACGCTTCCACACTGAAGCATTTTTTCGTATTTTTCAAAAATTACTTAAGGAATTACTTCATAAGTTGCTAGATCGTAAGCTTTCTCATATACATCAATGAAGTTTAATTTTTTTAAGGGTTTAAGAGACGAGCAATAAATTACTAATGAAAAAATGTAGCAAAAGATTTGTAACTCATAATAATAATTTTGGTAATAATAATTCATATGAAACTAATATTTTTTTCTTATGTTTTTTTTTACTATAACTTTAAAAATATTCAGTTAAATTAAACAAAACTTTTAGAGCAATTTAAAATGATTACAAAATTTCTGCTTTGAAATTGGAAAAATAATCGTTGAAAACGGTGCAATATGTAAGTAGTAAAAAAAGTCCCCTCATACTGCGCATACGCGAAAAAAGTATAATTTTTTTTACAATTTTGTAGTGAATCCTATTTGGAAACAAATAAGGAAAGGCGAATTTGAGTATCTGAAATCGAGACGAATTTGAGTAAAGAACAGCTTAAAAATCAAAAAGTTCCAAGCAATTTTCGAAGTAGTTTTCGTTTTTTTTAAGAGAAAGATAAAACATTTTGTTTCATTAGATAAAATTAAATAAGTAATGATAATATCTTACAATAAACTTTCATACTTTGAAATATAATTGCATAAGAAAAGAAAAACAGACATGCGAAAGAAAAAATATTTCTTTTTGGGATGATCCCCAGTGTTGCGGTTTTCATTTTTAATGAAAATTGTTTAATACTACAAAATTAATTTTGAAGAAAACCTCTCATCATCTTCAGCTTTCTCTTAAAAAAACAAAAACTGCAGTTGAATCTTTTTTTAATATTTCAGGCATTCTAAGCAGAATTTTTTTGCCATAATTACGAC